GTCCACTGGGTGTATACTACCCATCAGGTGTCTGTCAACGTGAAGTTGACCTGCATTTACTGATTCAGAGGCCTTGATATCCTTGCTTGCAAGAAGTTGAATCCTGATGCACTATTGTCGTACTTCTCCCCCTATTGCTTTGAACGAGGAGTTGAGTGGTTTTAGTTGGTACCTCCACTCTTTCCGACATATTTTTGCAGGATTGTAGGATTGCGTGACACCTGTATAGTCAGTAAATGAATCTGGCAGGTTATTTGCAATGTGTTGCAAACCTTCTGAACGCATGGTTCAGATCTTTGAGTACATGGAATTGAGGCAGAAATGTGTTGAACATTCCACTAATTTCCTGGCATTCTTTATGGTACTTGAAATCTCCCCCTAATGCCTGGAAATATTCCTCATGAATCAGCATACTGGCCTTGAATAACTCCCCATGCAAGGGGCTCGAGGCATTGACGGAAATACAATTATTCCTCACATAGATCCCAACTATATGTTGAGGGGCCAATGTTGTATGCCAGGTGGTGATATCGGTACGCAACCGAATTATCGCAGATAGGAAATACTTGGTAGATTTCCACATATCAAAGATAGAGGGGAATAATATTACGCAGTTTGGTCATGAGTGTGTAAAACTGCATGACTCCAACGTAAAGTTGGTAAGTTGCAATTTCAAAATAAAGATCATGCAATGAGCTCAATTCTTTGGATGGGATTCTACCAAACCATTTTGAGTCCAGACATTAGGACAAATTGCTAAATTTCAATCCGAGGGCCATAGAAAAAGGCACTCAAGGAGAATTTTGCAATGCTATCCATTCGATTTGCTTGAAATCGATGTCAGGATAATGAGCCAATGATTTCGTGTGAATAAAGCACACTTGAGACCATCATGTAGATGTGTCTTTGGAAAACCATGGATACCTGAATAGTCTAGTCAATGGTTGGGAAAAACCACTTACCTTGACTTGATGCATTCAAGGAGTCTGAGTGGTTCAGTGTAAACTTTAAGGTGCGCAATCCTTAAAATTGGCTACCCTGTGTCACATGTAGTGCACACAAAATCCAAATATTGTTAGAATTTAGCATCATAATAATCATAAACCAATGTAATTGCTGATAGTTTGGGTTTCAACCCAATGTCTCGATGACCAAGGCGAGTATGCCAAGTTTTTCATGTACAAGACATTTTGGAAAACTATCTTTGGCGCAACATGTGCTACGGGTTTTGTAGTATCTGTAGTACAATCCAGATGATACATAGAGAACGTGCTTGCCATATCTGTTGCATATGGTAAAGAGAAGATGTTCCTCTTTGTTGTCATCATAAGTTTCGCTATGGAAACTATTTTGATGGATACCTCCATAGTTTTAGTTTAGTAGGGTACGAGCTAAACCCGGAAGTAATAAAGCATCCTGACGATACTCGAGTATCCACAGGGATAGTAAATATGACTCGAGTTGAGCCAACAAATACCTCATCACGTCTAGCGATTTTAAAATATCTCCTTTTCTCTCAATGAGAGTGGAAACATTGGACTTCCCTGAGTATAGAGTGTGTGTGGTGCATATGTCCACAAGGCACATATCATTTTTCATCGGCTTGACTCCCGTATAAATCTATATATAGACATGAAGATTCTCAATATGAAAATCACTGTCAGATATATAGAATGCATACAAATGTATGTGTATCAAAGTGCTGATACAATATATTGTGATATACAATATATGATGACAACAATACTTATGTTGTTCTTACACCATCGTAAATAGACATTATATTGACCACTCAAGAGATTGAAAGACTATTCATAGTCTCCAAACATGTCGGTTGAGGCATATTCAACCATCACATTCTCTGTACCCATAGGGTTCCGTCACAGCTGGTGATGTCGGATTGAAGATTGAAATAAGATTCAAACCTTTGCTCTTGAGGTTCATTGTATCCCAGAATTGATGATACAGAATAACCAGATGCTGAGATCTGAATCTAATGTCTTATAATGTATAAGACAACATTTTTTTGTTAGCGGTGTGATCCTGACCAGAAGTGAATCCTGGATTGCACACATTATCCCACGAGACACAAGAGCGATCATGATGTGATGAATAGAATTGTATCGAGAGAGACAAGGGAACAAATGATTCGAACAACCCTTTATTGATGATGAATGAGCACTTATATACAATGGGAACAGTTGCCTCAGAGGTCCGTAGAGATGCCATTTCAGGAACCGTCGTGACGGTTGCTGGAAGTGTGCAACCGCACATCTAGGAAGGAGCGGGGATTATTCCCTAATAACCACAAGAGTTATTTAGTTTTAACATGATGCATGGGCTAAAATATGATCGGCCAAAATCTAGCCCAGGCCAATATGCCTTGGTTTCCATTCAGTTCGATGTACATCGGTAAACGGCTATGTGTGTGCATCCCTCTCCAAAAACACATTATTTGGCATGGGGTAATCATTCGATATTCAAATTGCATTTTGTATCTCCTTTGCATTCGTAGATTTGGTATCTCCCTTACATCTGTTTGAGCGGCCTTTATTTCTAGACGGAGAGAATATAAAATTAATGAAGGAATTTCAGAAATCACTGGTGTCAATATAAGCACCTACTCCTACCTCACTTATGTGCAACATCAAGGGGTGGAGTTCTAGTTTGTAAGGGCGTTCATAATGCAGGTCATACTCCAGAGCCCATATATGCCAGGCTCAAGAGTAGCATTAATCTTACACTCACTTTTTATCTAACTAAAACAATAAATCCTGGGTGCTTTTAGTGCAACAACCGTCTCTAGTGTACATCCTGGCGACAAAACGACGCGGCGTTTCTTCTCCGACAGCAATGGATTCAGGCACCTGAGTGGTCATGGTACAAATCCAAGCTACAGAAGGCATCCCCTGCTACTCGCAAGCAAGAGCAATGGTATCTTGTTCTGATACAAATTCTTACCTAGAACAAACCTACACGCACCAGACGCACGGACCCTGCCAAATAGAAAAGGGAACATGTACCATGGGACAGAACATAAGCAGTGATTTAGAGTTGAAATCTCAACCTGACAAAACATAAGCAGAGATTCTAAGCAAATGCTGCAAGCGGCGCACGCACACAAGTGCTACCAGACAGCTGTCGGGTGCTTGCCTTGCTTGGAAGGAGCAAATGAGTCAAAGATTAACTGACAGTGTCCGACACTAATCATTAATCCGTGCAAGTCACCGTGTCTTCATGAACTGGATAGGAAACAGTAAATTCGCAACAAATTAATCGATGAAGTCCTACGAGTCAGACTTCACGGCTGACCATCAGAGGACCAATTTCAGGGTTGAGCACGGCGCACAAAATGGAAGAATTCATTACAAAGTTGACCATTACACAGGGCACAACCCATTTCTGCATCACAGCCACCGGAATCCTAGGTACCTGCGGAGCAAAGAATTTCGTCAGCCAAACCAATTTGTATATACAATTTATTAGCGGAAAAGTCATTAAAGCCATAGCTCTCAATTTGGTATGACTCAAACAACAGTAAAAGTTAACTTTCACCAGTGTTGTGCCGAAAGCTCCAAAACTGAATCATCTCGGCATTGTTGGACAAAACCAACGTGGGAAAAAGAAAAAAAGCTACATGATAACACTTCATTTGTACTGCTACACCTTCCACTCTTATAGTAGTTAGTCCCAAACAAGTTAGGGTAGGCTAGAGCTGAAACCCACAAGATCTCAAAACCAACTCGTGGTTCTGGCACGTCGATAGCTAACTTCCACGCACCCCTGCCCACGAGCTAGCTAGTCGCTGACAAATTGAATTTTATTGAAATCATGCAGTAGAAGCCACAGGGATCATGCATCATCTTATTAATAGACACACTTCCATCGGCCCAAAATAGATGCCATCTCCACAGCATCAAAATCAATACTCCGAATACTAAAAGAATATTCATGACGAAACTAGTATTTATGGTGAATCTAGGCATGCCATTTTGATCATGTGTTTAATATGAAGTGTTAAACATCTGACGTGGCCAAGAGTGAAGAACATAGACCGCTCACAACGCATAGATGCATATAATTTGAACCAGACAAATTATGTTAAACTGAGAGGTATCATACATGCTGAGAAAATATTTACGCAAACCGCCCAACACTAGAATAATCATCCAAGAAAACTGAAAGGAAAAGGATAAAAAATGTACTTTAAAAATTAATGAAAGCATGCTCTTCGAGTCTCCTGACAATAAATAGTTCACTAGGTAGCATAATGATCCAAAATAAACAGCGATGTGAAATGTCAAATGGCATAGTTATAACCCTGTGTAACAAAGAAAGCATGAAGCAAGTGTTCAGGTATTGTCAGTTACCAACTACTCCATATAATCACACTAGGACTTGATAGATCTATAGCCATGAAAAACTAATCAAAGGCGGGTAAAAAAAATGAATGACGGACACAAAAGAGGATGCATTTCATTATGTTGCCACTTAAAATATGCACAAAAAGGAGAATGGTCCTCAGTCATCAGAACATCTAAGGAGCTAGAGGCGAAGAAATTGCACTAACAGTAGGAACCAAGGGAGTACCAAAGAGGAGGTAAATGAAAGCAAGGCAGCTGGATGGACAGGAAAGGTTCCTCATCCAATAGTGAGGTGGTAGCAACAAATAATAGAGAAGGTAGGTGGGCAATGGCATGAGGAAGCAAATGGAGAGCAGCTGATGAAGGCATGAAGAGGGTGAGGAGCAGGGCCTGGAGAAAAGATCCAAGATGCAGCCTGCCAGGAAAGCGTTGATATGAGTGGACAGGTGGGTAATAGCTAAGCAAAGAGTTGTATAGAAAATCTTAAAGAGTCCTCTCTTGCCATTTGGTAGTTGAGAAATGGCAGTAAATAGGAAAGCAATACATTTTTTTAAAGAACAGTTCAGATACCTCAACATAGGTTCAGAAGCTTACCTGCTCAACAAGTACATCACAGTAGCATACCTAACTAGATAATCATCTTATGTGCTGTGAAAGATCAACTCCATCATGTCCACCACCAATGTCTGTTTCTGCAAGCATAAGTCAAAACAATCAATGGCACTCCAAAGAATAGCCAAATAGACAAGAGGAGACATCAACAAGATGTTTAGATAAACTCATAGCTGTAGTTTGAATAAAAAAACAGTTTTATACAAGATTGGCAATAGATAAACAAAACCACACCTATTGTTAAATTTAACGAATATACCGAAAACAGTATAAACTGATTATTATCGTAAAAATGAAGAAGATGCACACTCAGACAATCAGCTAGTCATAAGAGACAAGTTAACCAGAACCCCATTGGAATAAATAAAATATAGGTCATTCCGAGCAACAGAAATGACCAAGACTATTCAGATCTACATTATCTTCAATAAATTAGGCTAAAAATCAAAGTAATACATCAATACTAAAAATCCTAGCAACAAAGGTGAACAAGACTATTTAGATTAGAATTTACTCAATTCAGCATTAGTTTCCCTGGTACAAATGGATATTTGCTACTCACAATAAAAGACTCCTAGAAGTGATAAAATGAACAATTATGCGCCAATTACAAACAAATTTGACAATATGGACTCAAGATTAGTAGAAAGATTAGCAGATAGAATAAATATTAAATGAAAGAAATAGAACTAGCTTTAAGTTTCTAACTGTGTCTATTGAGCTACTTATTTGACATGTCAGTTGGTTCAAGCTACTTTTTCACGCAGTTATCTTCAACTTCCAACTGTTAAATATCTTGATCTTGAGAGAGAAAACTGTACTGCAGCTATGCACTGAAACTACCATTATACAGGGATATGTGAATCGGCATGCAAGAGGGAAATTTACTTCATCAATATTACAAAAATAATTTGCCAGTTTGTTGTTCATTTTTTTACTGTATGAATATTGATATAATAACATGATAAAAGGCAGTTTGCTAGCTCCGACTTGAACAACAAAAAATACAGAAATAAAGATAACAGTAGACCAATTTCAACCCAACACCTGACTACAAAGCATACAAAAAAAAGATACCACTAACATAAAAAAATCTATATCATAATCACTACTCCCTTTGATCCATATTAATTGTCACTGATTAGTACAAAGTTAGTACAACTTTGTACTAAACCAGCGACAATTAATATGGATCGGAGGGAGTACATAAAACACCACCGCACAAGAATCAGAACAGAAATACTACAGAAACGAAATTGTTGTACGTTGAAGAGGTCATCAAGCAGTAAAGGAAACAAGTGATATGACACTTAGTTAAAACTGTTAACCTAACACGAAAGAGTATGAACCGTAATTCTGTCAACCGATTATCAAAAATTGGCTTCGTTTTGTTACAACCGATATCTGAAGGCATACTATTACCTGCAGTGTAGACACTTTCGAATGGATGATAGTGAGAAAGGGTTCTGGTTTCACCAAGTTTCTTGAACTGCAAAGACTCAAGATTGACCATAAAGAGGACACCGTGTGTCCACACAAACACCACATTATTCTCCTCAGCGAACCCTAGTATGACTTGGCTGCCATTTCCATTCAGGGAAAGTAGCTTGTCCAGTTCAATAGTTCTTCCAAGAACCCATGAAGCAACACCATCACAATCAGACTTCCTCTTCCATAACTGGAAGCTCTGATCTTTCTGCAACAGTAAACCAAGACCACCACCCTCTGCCCGCATAATCCAGAACTGGTAAAACCCATTTTCAAGCATATGCGCTGGCACCCGTATCACAGCTAGGCTTTGCTTCTCCAAATCAAACTCAAGAATTCCAACAAAATTCCCAGCAAGAATCCAGTAAATAGAATCCCTAACCATCACAGCGGGTTTTCCCGTAAACACCAAGGTGACATCATCTTCATCACCCAAAATATCCGAGGTGGAAACCTTGAATGGAACCGGTGTTGAGACAAGATCACCCCATAAGTTGGTCTCGGAAGAGTAAAGCCAGGCGAGCGCTCGTTTGTGTTGCTTGTCGACGTTGTCCACCACTGTCAAGACCACATGAAACTGTTGGATGTCTCCGGCAGCATGAAGCACTGCCCCATTGATGGCTGTGTTCTCCGCATGTATCACAAGCTCAGGGGGGATGGCAAGGTGGTGCTGTTTGCCGGTGACGGGGTCCCACACCAGGACCTTGTTCGGCCGTACGTTGTGGATGAGCACGAGGCCATGGCGGCATCCAAGGGAGATGAAGCGGTCGCCTTCGCGGCGCTGCAAGGAGAAGCGGCCAGGCGAGACACGATTTGGGGGCTCAAGAGTAGGTACGAAGGGGAAGAGGTCGCTGTCTCTGTTGAAGAAGCCAAGGAGGGGAGGGTTTCGGCGGTGGTGGCGGCGGAAGCGGCGGCAGAAGCGGGGGTCGGAGACGAGGCAGCGCCAGCGCTTGCAGACGAGGGAGGCGCGCGGGAGGGAGGACGGCTCCGGGGGGAGGCGGAGGAGGATCTCGCAGAGCAGGTTGTCGTCCTCCAGCGGACCCGCTGCCGGCGAGAGGTGGCAGCTGCGGCTGGTCATCTCGCCCTCCACCTGCAACAATGGAGGAGCGGTCAGAGGAGGAGAGGAGCAGTCCGGGACCCGGGAAAGGAGAGGAGCCGCCGGGGTAGGAGTGGCGGCGCTAACCCTAGATGCGCGCGTGAAAGGGGGAGGGGCGTCCGGGGGAGGAGCAGACGGCCCGGATAGGGGCGCGCGGCGGAGTGGCGGTGGCCGTCGCCGGCGCTAACCCTAGCGCGATGGTGCCGCCGCGTCGGAGTGGAACGAGATCCTCTAACGTAGGTTGAAACTACTGCCGAGGGACGTCCTTCTGGCATCACCGTTCAGCAGCCATCCGACGGCAGCAAGTGGGAACCAGGGAAACAGAGTTAGAAAGCAGAGGAATGCCAGCCCAGAAGAGATACGGCCCAGTCCAGAAAAGAAAAATACATCCATCTGATTACTCCCCGTCGTCGTTCGCTCGACATCGCCTGCGCTGGCCATTGCCATGACGGTGCATAACCCTAGCTCCGCCGCAGGTGAGAGAGCAATCGCCGCTGCCATTGCCACACCTGCGAGGGAGTGCGACCGCTGCCGCCGCCTGGGTCAGCGCAAGAGGGAGAGTCGCTGGCAATGCCATGGCCGCCACCACCGCGTGTCTGCACCATGCCGTCGGGCTCGCGACCGCTGCGGGAGGCGCCAAGTATGTGCCGCGTTGATGAGCGCGAGCAGCCGCGGATGAAGGGCGACCAACACATAGCCTGGAGTGCGTCGCGGCCTGCAGTCTGACGCTAGAGGAGGCAGACAGTAGCTCAACAGCTAGAGTCTGAAATGAATTTTCAGATGTACATACTGAATTTGTATTTTGTTAGGAATCTAGAACTCAGATTGTACTGAGATTGTATATTAATGTTCTCAATTTAAGAGCAGAGCATTGATGCTTGTCAATTTGTGAGCATAATATTCATTGATGATTTGGGTTATAGCTGATGTTTTTCAGCTGTGTACCAAGGTGCTAGAGGTTGGCCCTGTACCAAACTTGTATTTAAACTCTCTCTCGTTTCTACTAACAGAAAGATCAGTGCTCCTGCCAATATTTTGGGAAAAAAATGATAAACTCTCTCTCTCTCTTTTCTACTAACAGAAAGATCAGTGATGCTGTCCATTTGTGAGCACACAAGTGAATTGAAAATCATTGTAATATAGTGCAGAGCATATCATTGATGATGTCCATTAGAAATTGATACAAGGGATGTTATCCACTTGTGAGCATACAAGTGATGTTGTCCATTTGAAATTAATACAAGTGATGTTGTCCATTTGAAATTTGTACAAGTGATGTTGTCCATTTGTGAAATTGATATAGCGTAGAAGGAAAAAGAGATTAAACAAAGTGAACTATGGTCCATAACATTAAATAAAAAATCATTGTAATATAGTGCATCAAACAAAAGAGATCATCTAAACTTGACCAAAGTGAACTATAGCCCAAACTAAACACTTGACACTACAGAACGAAAACTGTTCCAATTGCTTTCTTCTTTAGGATCACTCAAGTTAGATCATATGACTTCCAAGAACAAAAGTAGAGTGCTTGTGCATGCATTGATTTTTTTTCTTCAATTTTCTTACCAAGGATGTCTAGTGTGATGACTACTAACATAATGCATTCTGGAAAGTTGGCTGCTCAATAGCTAAGCCAAAATGCCCAAACTTCATCCAAATTTTTACATTGCCTGCCAACATGAGGTACCAAACCGGACAATATACCTCCGCAATGGAAAAATAATCATGACCAAAGAACTTGTGCAAGTGACATATTTCAGGATAAGAGAGAAGTTCATGTGATTCTTACTAAAATTTGTGAAACCTCGTGAAAATAAGCAAGAAGTAGGAACTCATGGAAACTTCAGAATTCTATCAGTTCTAGTGAGCTACTCATGGAAACTTCAGACTTAAGCACCGGATTGAAAAGGAGAGCAGGTCATCCTCAGTCGTCTGATTTTTACATTAATACAGGGGAGAGTTTGATCAAGTTGAAAGCAATCTGATGTTCCTAACGTCAATTCCAGTGAGCTATTTATGGGGAAGATGGCAGAAGAAAAGAAAATTTCACTAGAACGTACATACACGATTGAAGAATAGAGCAGATCATTCTCCGGCGATCGACGCCTTCACTAGAACGCGATTGAAAAACATGGCAGGTTGTTCTCCGGCGATCGACTCCTTCACCAGAACACGCTCTTTTCCATCTCTCTCATGCCGTTTCTGTGATCCTCCCGCGTGTTTCTGTATCCTCGCGCCATTTTCTCCTCCTATTGGGTCAGATTGGGCCGCATCACGTTTCTGGGCCGGTGGCTAAGCTGTGTTTACCCCACACGTCGCTGGTTTTCCTTGCGAGTGAAAGCTTCTGCCGTCGGATGGCTGCTGAACGGTGATGCGAGAAGGACGTCCCTCTGCAGTAGTTTCAACCTACGTTAGAGGATCTCGGGAGGGGAGGGAGTGGCCGTGGTGAAGTGAAGTGTAGAAGAGGCTGCGGGATGTGGGAACTGGGAAGTGAACTTCTGTCCTGAGGAGCATCTCAAACAGATTTTACATCGGCTGCCCAAAAAACTGATTTTCAGTGCATTTGGGTCCAATTTTTCTCTCTAACCGATGTCTGCCTTGAACCTAAAATTATGTGGTCGCACTTTTAGGCCGCCCAATTTTTTTTTAAAAAACTGAAATTTGACCATATCTTTTTTTTTCTTTTGGAATTTGAGAATTCTAAAAAATTCCAAACAGGCCGTAGGCGGTCTCCATCGGATGCGGATTTTCGTGCTGAATTTTTTGATATATTATACGTTTTTTTCCGACATCGTATGCAAAAGTTATAGCCGTTTTACATTTTCCCTACACTTTTTGCAAAACATGTCCAAATTGTAGTTTTCAAATTTTCCTAACTAGTAGATGTAGTAATATAACTACCTCTCGAAGGATTTTATTTTTTAAAGTTTTTATCATTTTCTTTTGATTTTTTCAGAACTGAAATGGCGACACAGGGGTAGAGTTTGAAAATTGCCCTATAGTGCCGGTTTGTATCACAAACCGGTACTATAGGCCAGACCCCTTTAGTACCGGTTCGTGCCACGAACTGGTACTAAAGGTGATCGTGGGGCCCCGGCCTGACGCCAGCCTGCCACCACCCCTTTAGTACCGGTTCGTGCCACGAACCGGTACTAAAGGTTCAACACGAACCGGCATTAATGCAAATCCGTTCGAACTGGCACTAATGTTACCATTAGTACCGGGCCTAAATCAAACCGGCACTAATGTGCTTCACGTTTGACCCTTTTTCTACTAGTGTTGCCCTGTTATGACCGGTTTGGTCTATACTAGGAAGAGGCCCACCGGGCATTAGTATTAGGGGCTTGACCCACAAGTTATCTTAGCCAAGTTATCTTAGGCTAAAGTTATAAATACTAGTTGTAAGACACCGTTGAGATCAAGCAATAAAGATATTATAATCTTCTGTTGCCCGGCTCCTTGAGGAGCCGGAACCCTAGCCGCCGCCTCCAACCCTAGCCGCGACGGCGCCTGTCCGCCGGCGCGCCCGCTCCAGCCCTCGTCCCCCTCCTCCTTACCCATACAATATGCGCCGGAGGCCTGGTAGGAACCCTAGTCCTACCAATCTGGTATCCAGAGACACCAGCCCGACCATGTCGCTTCCTCCATCACCGCCGCCGCTGCCAAACACCACCGCCTCACCTACGCTGCCGCCAGCCCCGTCCGCGTCCATGACGACGCTCACGTCCGGGACTGCCACCCCGACAACGCCGACCGCCACCGCGGCGGAGCCGCCCCGCATCCTCTCGCCCGAGGAGGTCTCGGGCACCCTTCGCAAGTTCGTCCAGGCGGTCAAGGGCATCAACCTTTATCTCACCGGGAACCAGCCCCCGCCGCCGAGCGCCGCCACCACCACCTACGGGCTGCCACCGCTACAGTGGCCCGCCCCGGCCTTCCAGTCGCCCTACGGAGGGCCGCCCCCGCCGCCGCTGCTGCTGCAGCACTACTCGGCCGCGGGGAACCCTTGGCCCGCGTGGCCGACCGCCACCGCACCGCTGGGGGACCCTTCCTAGCAGCTTCTCTAGGCGCCCCCGCCGGCTACTTCGACGCTGGCTGCGGCGCCACAGCTCCACCAGGCGCCGCCACCGTCGACAACATCACCACCCGTGCCCCGGCTCATTGGTCGGCCCCTGCACCAGGTGCAGTTTCCGCCCTCGCCATCGCCAATTCCCGCGTGGGCGGCCGGCTCGTCTTCGGGCCCGGTGTACACCACGGCGCCGGAGCACCCGACGCCTTCCCTCCGGGTTGACCGTCCCTCCGGCTCGGCGACCTACGCCCCGGAAATCCCCGACCCGGCACACTCGCTGCCGCCGACTGTAGCAGCCCCCGGGCACGGCGGTCCGACACCCCCTCGCTTCGCCAAACTGGACTTCGCCACCTATGAGGGCATGGAGGACCCTCTCAACTGGCTCAACTAGTGCGAGCAGTTCTTTCGCGGGCAGCGGACGCTCGCTTTGGATCATACCTGGCTCGCGTCCTATCATCTCCGCGGCGCGGCGCAGACCTGGTACTACGCCCTCAAGCAGGACGAGGGCGACATGCCACCATGGGAGCGCTTCCGGGAGCTCTATCTTCTTCGGTTCGGGCCTCCTATCCACGGGAGCCGCCTGGCGGCCCTCGGCCATTTACAGTTCACATCCATAGTTCAGGACTACGCCGACCACTTCCAGGCCCAGGCGTGCCACGCGCCGAGCGTCTCCGGGATTCAGCGCGCCGAGTTATTTGTGGGCGGTCTGCCGGACCATATTCGCGTGGACGTCGAGCTCCGGGATCCCCCCGACCTCCAGACGGCCATGTACTATGCCCGGGCTTTCGAGCAGCGGGCCCAGGCACTGCATCAACAGCCCGGACGGGGAGCGTCTGCGGATCACGGTGGCGAACGGCGATCGCCTCCGTTGTCATGGGCTCGCCCGCGACGTTCTCATCTCCATTGGTGGCGA